TAAGTACAGCTGAAGTATTTTTAACATTAGGTGGATGGAAAGTTCCCTTTACAAAGGAATGAAGACCTTAAAGGACATCTTATGAAATAATGGATAGTTTTGCGCAAGGTTTCTCGTTATGACGAACTTATGTACATTGTATATGGTTTATTGGGGTGTGATTTCTTGTTTTCTCAAAAGTTCATGGGTACTTTGTGATTTATATGGATTAACCGTTTCGTTTTTAAGGAAACAGCTGTTTTCATGCATAAAGTAAAGATTTGATTAAAACATACACACCTCCAGACAATAAGAGAATTGTAAAATTAACTTATTCTATTGTCAGTTAATTCGTTAATTGTTCTATGCATTGTAATTTTTGAAAAATTAAGGATGAAGGCATTTATTTAGCTTCCAGTAAAACAGCTGTTGTAGCTTCTGCTTTAAATCTGCCAAAAAAAGTATCGACAGCTGATTGCACTTCAATAGTTCACTATTTACAATTATTGAGGTGATTTGGATGGCATAATTAAAATATAGCCAATTGTTGGGTTCTCTAAATCTTTTAGTTAACTAACACTTAAGCAAATGTGTGTGCAATTCAACCCGTGGTTCAGTTTTAAAGCGTTTGGATAAAACGTTATTGATGGAAACTACCTCTGTTCCGATTACATACCTTAATTACCTAACTGAACTCCACAAATATATTTTTACAAATATTATACAACCCGAAATCACTGGAAAATCGTATTGTTATTATATAACCTACAACAATCATCATGTTAGTTATTCCAGTATTGTCGTATGAATTTCATATAATCGTTTTCCTATATAATACATATCTGCCCCAGCGACCATGTAATACGTCATAATGTTGTCATTATGTAATTAAATAATTATTTTCATTCCCCATTGCCGTTTGTATCTCGTGGTAGCATAGTTATCTCATTTATCAAATAAATAAGCTGTAATTTAAACCAGATATGTTTTTCCTTTCGCTCTTCTAACGGAACCAAATAACCCCGTCGCAGCAAACCTGCAGACTACGAATTCCCATTTGCCTGGTAGGATTAAAAAAAAAAATATTTACTTAAAGATGTCAGCTTTATTTCCAACCAAAACTCAAACTCGAAATTATTTACGGAAAAAATACTTTCTCCGTACTATGTAAAAATGCTTTAGACTTGTTCCACCTTACGGGGGGAAATCTATTAGGTAATCGATTTATTCGTTTACTAAATGCAGATTTCCAATAATTCATTAACAATAGTGATAAGATTAATTTTTGCAGTGTGTCCAACATGGGCAGCTTTATATTGATAAGATAAATTTGAACTACAATATTGAATAAATATTGTTTAACGAACGAAAAATAAACATTTTATCAGGAAAGTATAAATACACGTGCTTCCTGATGAACTCGTGTCTATAAATGAAGATAACCAATAGATATTTTTGTTCTAAATGTTTCTACAGGGTTGCCGAGATATTCAGACTAATTTCCTCATACTTTGGCAAATTGGTTATTCACTCTTTGGTCTATGTAATAACACTGTGTGTTATATTTGGCTGTATTAATTCGTTGTAGGAGTCACCGAATGAGAGTAACCAGTAACCGAATCAATCGGTTATTGTGTCCAAACAGACAACATAATCCGGTTATATTTTGATTCGGTTGAATCATTCTTTCCGAGCGATTCGGTGATTTGTTTATGAATATTAACAGAATAATTCAAATAACGACAACGGTTTGAAAATGCGCATATCAGAAATATTATTGATCCAACTTACTCCATATCAATGAATGTTCTACAATATAAATGAATTCCACTAACTATTATTGGACTTTTTACTCCAAAATTATTACATTAAAAATATTACTTTTACAAAAACCGAAAAAGGTTAAATGAGGTGCGTAAATATTATTTGGTTTCTCGTCAGGTAAAATAATTATTATTTGGAACAAAAAATATTTATTGAAATTTTGATTCGGTGATTCATTCAATTAAATATCACCGATTGATGCTAAAAATAACCGACCGATTATTAGGTTATGGAAACCATTCGGTTACCTATCCCATCACTAGTCATTGATTATACCGAATATATATTCAATGGTAATACATTTACTAAACATAACACACCACGTGGCACTAACCTCATACAGTGAATGAACGTGTGTTATTTATATGTGTGTGTGAGTGCGTGTGACGTAGTGACCACACGGCGTGACGTACGTGACGTAACGTGTTGACAGTCACGTGGACAGCCGCAGTGATGGGCGTGGTCACGCGGCTCTGGTCCATCACATCACATGTTGTGCATAACAAATAATATGCACATCACAAGTCACACACGTTCACATTGCAGTTGCATGACTTTGAGTTTTACCTCTTACT